AGGATGAAGGACACGAAGATCCCCTCACCATCTTCCCCTCCAACGATGTTGAAGCCCAGGCCAGTGGAGCCTTTGTGCAGGATGATTTTCCGCGGTTCCCTGAGAAGACAGACATGGGACAGAGATACCAGGGTGAGGAGAAGCAAAACTGGTGACAGGGTTGGTCGTGCCTGGGCTTCCTGGCACATCGGTGGGGCTGGAGTCACTCTGAGTCAACCTGGTGCGACTCAGCCCTTGGCATCAAGGAGGCTGATAAACCAGGAGAGGTGCGGTATGAGACAGAGAATGGACAGAGGCACAGCCTCTGCCAAGAAATTGTGCACGGAAACATTGGATTGAGAGGCAGCATCAGATTCTGTGAGCCTGGGCATTGAGGAAAGTGTGGCCATGCCAGGAAAGTAGGATCAAGCCCCTCCACACCCATGCATCATGGCAAATGTGCCTCCAATTCCTCCCTCCCCCCCATGCCACAGGCCCGGTACAGCTCAACAGAAACCCTAAATTTTTTGATGATGACTTCATTCTTTCACAGCTCAAACAACAGGCAGGCAAAGGGAGAAAGACTGCCTGGCATTGCAAAAATCCTATGCCAATTTTAATCTGGGAAAAAAACCCCAAGTCTGATGGGAACAGCAGATCCCAGCTTAAGTGCTGGATTAAAGTAAGAAGGAATAAATGATGCCAGACAATTAGCACAAGCTGGTGGTGACTGTCAGCTAATATGACACTGGGGACCATCAGCACATCTGCTGTGGCGACCAGCTGGATCCCGGGCACTCCAGTGGGTACAAGGACTGAGGACCTGCCAGTGTGCTCAGCAGCCTGATCAACCCTGTGCCTGCTGGGAAGCGGCAAGAGATCTCTGGGATGTGATAGGAGAGGTGCTGGAGCCTCAGGCACGGCACGGGCTGAGGGCACCTGCAGTGGACCCTAAAATGCCGAGAGACTTGCACTAAGGGGACCCTGGGGCACTGGGAGGGACGGCCTAGCTGGCCTCCAAGCTGCGAGCAACAGCTGGGGAAGGAGCGGGGCTCAGGCAGCACAAGTGGAGCGATGACCTGGGGGAATAAAGTTTGTCTGAGCAGACAGCACAGAAAGCCCTGCAGCCTGGCAGCATGCTCCCAGGCCACTCTTGCAAGAAAACATACATAGGCCCCCGGGACAGACCGGAGCATCAGTGCCGTCACCTGGGCAGATGGGGGAATGCTTTGGTCCTTTCAAGGATGCAGGTAGCAGGATTTAACTCCAGGGACAGATGCCAGATCCTCAGGAAAAGCCTCCCATCATCCTTTCCTGTAGGCGAGTCCTAATGGGATGAATGTCACTTCGCTCCAGGCAACCACTTATAATGAGCAACAGGAGCAGGAGACAGACAAACAGAAGTTCAGGACACCTTGCAAGAAGGTCTTGGTGGGCTCCTGCCCTGCCCAAACCCCGGGCTCAGCAGAACTTGACCCTCCCAGCTCTTCCAGCTGCTCCTGCTCACATTGACAATGAACACAGCAGTGTGGCACGCTCTGCTGGTAGCAGTGGCTGGAGGGTGCTTGAGGGGCAGGGATGTTCTGAATGCTCCACGCCACAGCTGCCCTGTGCTGCCCATCTCTGCCTCTCACTGGCTGTGCAGCTTTGGCTTCCCACAGGACCAGACGGTTTGGTGGAAGGAATCAAGAAGAGGAAATGAAGCCACACACATCTCAGGTCTCAGTCATGACGTGCGCTTTCCAGCTCCATCCTTATCCTGGGAGCAGGGAATGGTCCTGCAGGCAGATCCCATGCTGGACATTGCAGCATTAGCATCGGGACCTTGGCACGGAGCAACTGCAGGGATCCTGGGGATGTGCTAGGTCTGGGTTGCAGTGGTGAAGCTCATTAGGAAACAGATGCTCTGGTCCCCCTGGCCCTGGGTCATGAGGGTCACTACAAGTCCACAGCAGCACTTGTGTTTGTAGGAGTGGAAGAGGCTTGATACTGGATCCAGGCCAGACCTCTGCTTCTCCTGGGGAACAGCTGGCAGGAGCCTCCTGGCAGACAGCTGCTTTTTCAGGGGAGTCAGTGCCTTTCTGAACCACACCAACAGGATGCATTTGGATCACACTGGTGCCAGTGCACAGTCTTGGTGATACATGAGCCCAAAAGACCCACGGCAATGAAGCTGTCCTGGGAGGGGTCAGTGACACACATGAGGTTTTCAGTGCTGCCTGGGGATGGATGAGGGAGGTGCTGTGCTCGTCGCAGGCTGCAAATCTGGTGGGGAGCAGGGGGCAGTGGCTGGGGACAGTGGCTGAGCGGTGCCAGTCTGTCTTCAATGGGGTCCTCCAAAAGGCAGCACCATCCTCTAGTGGGCACCAGCACGTGGTGCACCACTTCCAAGCCACCACTGAGCCACTGCCCACCTATCACTGCGCCATTGCCACTGGGCTGTGTCCAGCCCGAGCTGGGCTGCTCTCTCCACTCTCTGACCTGCAAATAGGCTGTTGGTACACGTAGGAAGGGACAGGGTCCCTGGCAAGAGACAGATGCTGCATTTTCCAAGTTTTGGGACACAGTCCCTTCTGTGGTGCAATGAATGTCAGAAAACACTGCTCCTGTGTGTGGAATCATCCCCCAGTGCCCTGACAGCACAGGAGTCACTACACCCGGTGAGGACACAGTGCCAGGAGCAGACTGTTGAACTGGCATCGTTGGTGCCAAGACCAGGTGGCAGAGATGGGGCATGGGCGGAGGCCAGTGTTGCACAGGTCACGATGTGCAGAGGTACCTGGCCGTGGCCAAGCACCAAGAAGCAACAAATCCCTGTGATGAAGGTGGGTGTAAGCACTCTCTAGGAGGGCAGCAGACCTGATGCTGCATGGCACGTCAGGGTCTGCTGCTCCAGAGTCTGCCAGCACCCTGCACAACCAGACAATCCCAGCTGAGGCTATGCTATCTTCCAGTGCAAATGCAACCCCAAAACCAGCCTTACTGGTTGCTTGCTTGACCTTGGTCCTAACTGCAGAGCCAGCCCTAAGCCTGAATGTTAGTCCTAAGAACACAGCCTGACCCCTACAGCCCTGTCCCTGGGCATACTAAACCCAGAGCAAGCCAAGCAGAGGCCCTGAGGCTGTGGGAAGCAGAGAGAAAGCTGTGAGCCCAGGCAAACAAAGCAGGACCGGCCAGATCTCACTCTCCCATCCTCAGCATCTGGCTTTGGAGAAGTTTTACACTGGACTTAGGCTCAAAGCAACATCTCCTCTGTGCTCTTTATTTCCTGGTTCAGGAAAGAAACCTGCTTGTGTAGTATAAATGATACCAGTGGGGAAAAGGGGACCGTGCCAGGGCTGTACAGGAGGCTGTTGAGCCCAGAGCTGGCAGCTGGTGAAAAGGCACCAGGGTGCATGTGGTTTGAGATGCTGGGCTCAGGGAGTGCAGGAAGAGGAACCCTGCTTGTACCCAATAGCTGTACCCTCCCTGGCCCCTCACCCCCAGCACAGCTCCATTCAGGGACAGCTGGCTCACAGCCTGTGAGCCTGTGGTAATGCTGGCACCAGATGGCACCATAAAGGCAGGGAACAGTTTGTATTCTAGGTATTGTAAAACAAGAGAATGAAGCAAAGCTGAAATGCAGACGTGTAAGGCTCAGGGAGGAGCAGGAGGGGGAACGGGGAAGGGGAAAATGTGGTGAGCCAGGGAGTGACACAGCAGGGCTGGGCTCAGGGAGAGTGAGTGCGGAGCTCACTGTGGGGGCCCCAAGCTTTGCACCAGACACCCACAAATGGGATTTCAGCTAAGGCTCTGCACTGGCTGCAGGGAGGAGTTCAAGCAGCCAGGGAAGGAAACGGAGGGAAGGAGAAGGAGCAGGGATTAGGGATGCTCATTCCCAGTACTCACCTGGTGAAGTCCTCGTCCCCGATTATATGCCGAGGGATGGGCGAATACCGGGATGGAGTCACCTGGGGTGGGACAGGGTAGGCAGGCTTGGTCTCAACGCTGCCCAGGTAGCCCAGACTGGAGTTATGGCTTATGTGGTTGTCAGCCAAGGCTGAGAATGCTGCAGGGGAGAAGAAGGCATCAGGAGCAGAAATCTATCTGCAACGTGGAGATGGAGACCAGCCCAGGGTTGCCTTCCTCCCTAGCACGCTCTGTCCCCCCCAGCCCTGTGGTGCCCGGGCTGCTGGGTCAGCAGCCAGTGGCATACGTACTGCTGGCATAGTCGGGGGGCGCGTACATGTCGTTGAGGTGGATGTTGCCAGGCTTGGCCACTTTCAAGTACACCATGTCAGAGGTGTTCTTCAGGGCGGCCACCGCCTCCTCATGCCGCACGTCCTGCAGGTTTGTGTTATTCACCTGCCAGAGGAAAGGGTCTGGTGACATGGCTGCAGGTAGGAGGGCAGGGGCTAAAGCAGCCCTGCAAGTACCAGAGTGGATTCCCACAGGGTAGGTGCCACAGTAGCTCTGGAGACAGGGTCCCATCTCCATGGATTTGTCCCTCCTGTCTGCAGCTGGTGCTGTGCCTGCCCGTCCCACAGCACTGTCCCAGAGGGACCCTAAGGGAAGGGGTGCAGGGCTGCCAGCGGTGCTGGGGTTCAACACTGGCACTGTGGCATGGTGGAGACTGCCCAGCTTTGCCTCGTGGCTGCCTGTGGGCACAGGGCTTACCGCGAGCAGCCGGTCACCAATCTGCAAGCGCCCGTCCTTCTGGGCAGCGCCTCCCTCAATGATCTTGGTGATGTAGATGCTGTTGTCCCCAGGGATGTGCTGGTTCCCGATGCCCCCTGCGATGCTGAACCCCAGGCCTGAGGAGTGAGAGGGCAGGTGAGGGATGATGGACAGATGGCTAGACGGAGTCCCAGGCTGGCACCATGGCCCCTCTGCCTCATGGGGCTTCCCACCCTGCCACAAACACAGCTATCCTACACCCCGTGTCCCATAGCATCCCATGCTGCTGGGCCAGCCTGCAGCATCCTGCACCATGGCGATGCCAACTTGCATCCCACATCCCCCATGATGCTGCCTTGTACCTCATGGCATCCCACACTGAGGGGTCACCCCACACCATCCCATGGGGCAGTGGGGCACCCCGGTCCTGTGAGCAGAGTAAGAGGTTCACCTTTGGGGCCCTTCATCAGGTTGACCTCCATGACGGTCTCTGGCGGGGGCTGCCGTCGGCGCACCACGAGCCGCACCACAGGGCCCGCTTCCTTCAGGGCCTCCACGGCTTTGCTGTGCACCACCTCAGAGACGTCCACGTCATTCACCCGAAGCACGCAGTCATTCACCCTGGGGGCACAGGGTGGTCCTGAGCTCGCCTGGGGAACTGCCAGCCTGTGCCACCCTCCTCTGGGCACCTCTGCCACCCTCCTCCAGCTGCACAGGCCCTTGTGTGACAGAGAGTTGCTCAAGCTGGTCAGATCCTGCCCTGCCAAGGTAAGAATGGGATCCCTCCCAAAGGAGGAGGCAGTGGCGCTGGTCCCCATGGTATGACCCCAGTGGAGATAGGAGATGAGGGGAAAGGCTGGATCCTGATCTGGGCTGCAGGGGGAAGGATGGGAACTGGAGCTTGGTGCAGGGAGGGGAGGAGGGGGTGGCTGCAGACAGGAGGCTGGGGGTGGGGAACCATGGGCATCACTGCACTGAGGGGACCTGGCTGTGGGGAAGGGACCGAGGCAGGCCAGGGACCATGGCAGGTGAGGTGGGCAGAACCCTATAGGGTCCCTGGGGAGATCCCGG